CAATGCAGTTATGGATTCATTATCTGCGTTTTTATATATTGGCTTGTTTGGTGGATGCATCATATTTTTCAGAAAATACGCGTAAAATTCAGAATGGATGGGTTTAATTATGATCGGCTGTGTAATGGATTTCGCACAAAGATTCTCAGACTATATTAGGTACGTACAAAGTGATCAGTAGAAGACAGAAGAACTGGTTTTCTTGGAATACCTATTTACTACGGGGTATAGAGTATAGATTAGAATAAAATAATGCTTTATTTATGTGAACCTCTGAACAGGTTACAAAACGTCCAAAAGATCAATAACTAATATGACAAACTAGGGATACAGAAACGCATGTAAGGTGAAGTTATTCGCACAAACATTCATTTGTAGTATAAAATGCTTCATTTAGCAAAAGGTTCTGAAGTTCACTTTCAAACAAAGATGAGCTGGTAATCTGCTTAATATCCAAAGGTTATGAAACATGACACTTCATAAATGCATCGGTTTTTATAAGCACTGAAATTTTGAATATGCATATGATAATGTCTACTGTTGTGGGCGTGTATCTCACTGCGCTGGGAGAGTCAATCTGTGTTTTCTTTAACAAATAAACATGACTCGTAAATCAATATTGACGGTAACTTTAATTGTCTCCAAATACTGGTGACCAGTGGACTGAGACCAAACACTAATCCAATCAGCCTCTTTTGTGACTTATGTAACAGTATGTCATTGCAAAGTAAGTATCTAGGAGACACCTACAACTAACGAGTCCCCTTAGGTCTCTTAATGCAAAGTAAGACTAGAAAGTGTTTCGTCCATGTTAAAACGAATAAATTTGTGGTTTTCTATCTTCGATATGGTAGTACTGTATATAAGGTGACTTGATGGAAAATGAACCAGTTACTCCTTAAAAATGCTTACTGTCTACTGGCCGTTCTGTGGCATGGTTGTATACCATTAGGAGTTCGTTTTTTCTAGAAAGAAGAAATAATTTTTATAGTCCAACCTATGGTTGTGGTCGTAATCCATTGAACTAGTCTGAAATGATTCTCCTAAAAAGTTTTGGATGCCGGGACCAACGATCTACTAATAAAGATTATACATATCTGAGCCATCCACAAAAACACCATTCAGCAGATTATGCGATTCTCTCACATTCTCGACGGGAGTGATTGAAACTAATCCAATATACTGTGAGGGCTTTCTGTTAGAAAGGTAGTTAATTTGTTACCCATAATATTAGTTGTATTCTAGGAATAAACTGATATACCTACAATTTACGGTTACGAAGATTTTAAATTTCAGTAGAAGGAGGACCGCGGGAATTATTGAAGGTAATTCTGTTATATCCTAGAACCTAGACAATTCAAGAGTTATTGGGGTACTCGTTTTTCTTAATTTTTTCCTGAAATGTTCAATTTTCTCTTTATTTTGGGATAGTGAGCCCCATCCTAAAGTATGTCCCTAAAATAAAATCGTACACCACTGCCAACGCTTTGAATACGGCGGGACTGGCATACGGATACCGCGTTAGCAGTGGCGTACGATTTGTTTTGCCACTCTCTTCCACTCTGGTACTTGAGTATAGACGCTGAGCTCAGTATTCCAATATACCAAACAATACAATATCTGTATCATGTACCCATTTTTTCAAAATATTCAATTTTCTCGTTTATTTCGACGGCTGCGGACAGCCTGGAAGCTTTCCAATGAGATTTTCCGTGCTAGTGAAGGGAGACACTTCACGGAAGTTTTCTGTGCTACTGGGAGGTGATTTTGAGCAATTCAATGAGATTCTTGGTCGCACAGGCAGAAGATCGGAGACAATACAATGAGCTTGTAGGTGATATAAGGAATTGTGAAATAATTCAAGAAGGTCTGGAATAATCCAAGGAGATCTGAGAGAGTTCAGAAGATTGAAAGCAACACAAGGAGATCCTAAAATTCGGTAGGTACGTATGCTGGGACCGTACACTTCAGTTGTGATTTTAACCCTCTCTGCTAATTTCACTGATCTACCAGTTGTGATGCAAAAAAGAGATTCAAGGATTTTCAGGGATGCATGTAGCGTATCCATTGTATGCATCACACATATGCCTCTAGACAATGTAGACAATATAGACAATGTAAACGATGTATACAATAGAAGGTATTAGTTCAATTATAGACATTTATTATTTATTTATAGAAACTTATGGTTCTAGATGAATTAGAAACATTTCTAAACTAAGATAAAATATGTCTGGAAACAAAAACCACCCGTTTGTCAGATCTTATTCAGCATCGTCAGAATCGTCAATATTTAGATTGGCAAGGCAGTTATCGTCATCCCTAAGGGGTATTACTAGGTTTACCAGATGGTCGGGAGTCGTCGACATTTCATATGATGTCCAGAGTCCCAGCACAATAACAAATAACGGAACACACATTTAAAATAGCAGAAATCAAATGTCAAATTCTTCCGACAGAGTAGAAAATAAGTATGTATTAGTTGTCTCCTATTTTGATCTCATCTGTTTCATTTGTAATCCCATAAGTTGCCAAAAAAGTATTTTGTTGCAATAATAATTTTAATAAGATATCTTCTTAATTCGTATTATTTATTTGTTCCGACTATAACCGCAAAATCCCGAATTTTTGAAATTATTAGGCAAGTGGAAATTAGTGAAGTAGAGCGCCGATAGCCCGCTTATTAGGATACCACAACGGCTAACTTACCCGTGCGATCTCGAGCGACAGCTGAATTAGATAATTCGACGGAACATTTTCTTCCATCTCTGAACAAAATGATCCATAGTTCATCGACTTTCTTATTGTTCAGCCTCGCTTATGTTATTCTATACATTCTCTATACCATAGTATACAATCTAAGTGTATTGTATAAATTGTCTCCGCATCGTCTAAATTAAAGCGTAGACAATCGAAGCATACGAGTAAAAGCCAATAGGTGATCATGTTTTGAGCACTATAGTGTACTATAATACGCATCCTCTGCTTTGGAGTCAAGGCTACTCCCTCATACCCCACCACTGCTTATGCGTCAAGGGAAGTGGGAGATCCAGAGTCCGCTGAGCCTGGCCCACCGAGCGTGGAGCGTCGAGAGAGAGACCCGGGGAACTTCTCAATGCGGAATCACCATTTTTCTCAGTCCCGAGAACAACAAAGTCCACTTAGTCATCGTCGAATGCTGACCGAAAAATACAAGGAAAATAAACGCAGAGCCAGCTCAACACCGTCTTTTCCCCGGCGAGAATGAATGGCCACGTCTTCGATACATTAAAAATATTTCGCAAACACCCCGGCCACTTTTTCTTCAGCTACTTGTTTTTTTTTTCGTTTTAATTAAATTATGCCGCGAACGACGATCGGTCGACTTATGTAAATGAGATTTTATTTGGATCATCGCCCGGTTGTGATAAATAGGGAAGATATTTGGAATGTACTGGGAATAAATATTCCATGAAAAGCTATGTGGTGTTATCATGCATTATGATTTGTGTGGTGTTTTTACGTCGAAATCGTGCTTTAAATTTCGAAAAAGTTCCTCTAACAAATATAAGAGCAGTTAGAGATTTATTTACGTGCATTGTGCAACTTTTTTAAATGCTGACGAATATATTTACTGGAGGAAATGAAACTTATTTTGTATTTTATTTTTAGACCGATTTTTCACATCCCCTCCCCCCATTTTCTATAGGTACGAGAGACCACCAATGGCCCTGCTTTCAGAGCACCAGTGGTCCCGGTTTGTCTCTAAAAGTCAGGGGTCCCGTTAGGTATTATAGCATATATGGCCTACTCGAGATTGAACAACTAAACATTGTGCTTTCATCCATCCGGCCACAGTCGGCCAATCGTGGACACTTGTTTCGTGCTTTTTGGCAACTCCTCGGCACGGTCTAGGTTTGGTTTCAGGTAGGACGACAAAAGTTTAGTAAGCAATTAGATCATGTGATATCGGCTTGTGGACGTCTAGCTTTAACGGATAATAAACAACATTACTATCACTTACGCTGCATCTTAAGTGAAAACAACTTTCTGCCTTCATCATGGTGGCACCATACTTCAAATCAAAAATAACTGAAAAGACAGTTACACTTAATTTTTGAGGAGCTGAGAGACAATTCAACAAATATTATTTTGTTGGTTTCTTCGTATTTTGTTGACCAATGGGATAATTTCATCCTAGGTCAGTATCACTATACTCAAAATAGTCGATATATGTTTCCAACTATCTACAATTGATATCTCATGAACCATCTAATCAGTCATATTTTCGTGAAATTACGAATTAGTTACTCCTAAGGATTGTCCTGTGGTTATCTCGCGGATTTGAAACCATGGATGCTGATGGAAAAAATTATTGACGGTTTAGCCGAAATGTTAGCAAATGGTTTCTGTTTACGCCTGCGTTCCATTTGGCGGGTAGTGGAGCATCAAGATCATTACGATTCTTCTATTTATTTTTTTTTTTGACGGAATGTTCAAGTCTGTCTTAATGAGTTCCAAGTAACCGTACGGATTAAGTAGCTATTGTAAAATATTTAATGTGTGCGGTATTGAGGTTAGAAACTTTCAAGCCGACAACTACTAAACTAAATCGTGTAATTTTATGCGTACTGCTACTACTAAAAACTAATTCGCTAGGTGACAATTTACAAGTTTGCGATAATTTTGGTTATTATAAAATTATAAAATCCACTCGCGTAAAGTGTGATTTGCAAAGTTATTCGCGAAATTTTTGAGATGAAATTTCCTAACTTCAAGGTCCTGCAAACCCTGCTTTAAATCGGACCCGAAACCGCCATACCAAAGGACTTTCTGTATCATTGTATTTGTTACATCAAAGCTCTCTTTAACATTATTTTTCAATTCTCACTTTGATGGAGGCAAAACAAAAAATACACCACAAGCAATTTTCATTCATAGATACCAATGAAGCCCATATTCTAGGCACAGATGTTACTATTCCACATCTAATCAGTCATATTTTCGTGAAATTGCGATCCTTATCGTAACTCCTAAGCAGTGGCGGCTCGTGGCAAAATGAAACAGGTGATCTGCAAATCCGAACTTACCTATTTTTTATATGTCAGTTCGATCCTGCGATCCTTCTTGGCAGCAAATTTGTCGATCACCTTCCCATTGAAGTTATCCAAGATCGAAAGAAATTCCTTTTCAATGGACAGCATCGACAACGCTGTAAGGCGATCCTGAGTCCATAGTATTTCGAAGAAATGTCTTGATTCTTTTCATTGTTGAGAAATTTCTTTTAGTGTTTCCTCCAAACTATTTTGTATCAAAAATTTCAAAATAGACAGATTTCCATGTAAATCATTCCGTGCATAAATAACAGACAACTCTGTCTTTAAACGACTTTCTTCTAATTCGGGATAAGCCAACCCGGTAATTTCCAACTTGTCATCAGGAAACTACGGCTACCAAATGATCTTTGAATTGAAATCATTTGCAGAATTCTCTATATTGTCGCATACTTCTAATGCGGCAACTCGGTGATTATTACGTCTTCTCCTTTTGTTCAGTGGAAATACTTTCGGCTTCATTTATTTCTCACATCGGCAATACGTTTTTCAAAATTATCGATAGCCGTTTTAACTTGCGCTGGCTCGGTTTTTCTCTTCTGCAACTGGTTGAATAAGACGTCGACGTGAGGCATGACATGATGAAAAAATGTCAACCAAAACACGAAAACAAAATCGTTGAAGATACGGCGAATAGCGCAAGCTGCTTTGCAAACGGTTTCATTAGTGAAATTTTCTTCTATTTCTTCCATGCATTCAATGAGTGATTCTCTGTTCTCAAACACTACATTTATTGTTCGAATATTAAAATTCCAACGAGTTGTTGCTCCTTGGGGAATTTTTTCCTCACAATTCTGTTCAGTACCTCTACGCGTTGAGGAAAATTATTAAAAAATCCCGGAATGTCTTTCAAATCCCCAAAGAACACCCGAACTTGAGCATTTGCGGAAGCAACTTGGGAAATAATCAGGTTTAACTGATGCACATAGCAATGCACATAGTGAGCAAATGGATATCATTGTTTAATTTTGGCCTGTACTCCAGCATTATGTCCGCTCATTACCATCATAGCTTTGTGAAATCAGTTTGTTAGGGAAATTTCCTATTAATGGATCTACGGCGTTCAAAATATGTCTTGTGAGAGTATCAGCGTCACATTTTTCGGGATTCATATAATTCCACAAACGTTCTACTGGTTCGCCGTTAAATACGTATCTGAAAACTGTTACCAGTTGGGTTTAGCCCAAAATGTCCGTTGTTTCATCTGCTATTATCGCCAAATACGAGGCTCTATTGATCTGTTTTATTATTCCTTCGTGACAAACTTCAAGAATACAATCCAGTAGATCGTTTTGTCTTTCTTTCGAAGGTCCTTTAAATATTGAAGCATTTTTTATGTGTTCGCTTAAGGTTGTATCAATCTCAGCAGAAAAATTAATCAGTCCACGAAATATTCCCGGGTTCTGGGAGCTCTCGGTTTCGTCGTGGCCTTGTAGCGCCAATTCAACTGCTCCGCAAAATTCTATACAATCGATTATTTTTGATAGAACGTACCTGTTTTTTTGTAACAGTATCATTATGCTGTTGTATATTTCTCCAATATGCTAAATCTAACTGAGCTCTGATGTTAATAATCTCCAATAAAGTCAATTCCATCGAATTATGAAGATGTGTTTTAGAGTTTTCATGCTTCTCAATTTTTTCACTCAGGTGCACTAAATCTGTAACATCTACCTCCGTCCAAGCTTTGTCACCGCCAAGTATGCAAGGAAAGCAGAAAAGGGCATTCTTCCTGTTGCACCCACAAATCCAGTCATGTCCGGTGTAAATCTCCTTGCTGAAATGCCGCGTATAGCCCTTGCCCCGACTAACGCCCTGTGTTTCTATAAATATGTCCGGCAGCGGTCGACCTAACACCTTCAGCTCAATTTTTTCTTGAAAAGTATATTTTCAGAATCGTTTCACGCTGATAAGTCTGTAAACCACATCCATTGTCTTGCACTACCCTTCTACACAGCCACAATCAGTCAGTGAGTCACTAGTCACTCAATGTAAGACCCAAAATACCTAAATAAAAATTTTCCGCATTCAAATTTTAAGCAACGTCACGCGACAAGACCGATATGCCAATGCCGCCGAGGACCGAGCACCGACCGACCAATCAGATATCGTACTTCCCATTAGATCTGTACGGATCTGTATAACTTGCAGTACATGCTTATTGCTTAAATCGCGCATTTGATTTCATAGAGAGAGACAAAAGCAAGCGCGTGCGGCCTGTGTCGAAGTAGTGCACAGACCCTTTTCAAGTGACCCATGAATAATGTTACGCTGCGGTCGCGACGAAAATGACAAGTACACAATTGGTTGATTATAATCCTTTCTCAGTACAAAACAGACTCGACGCCGTGTCTTGCGGGGGCAGCGTTGCCGGTATTGTTTCTATTTGTGGAAAATAAATAATGATCAAATTACTACTGGTTCTTTCTGTTATGACAAAAGTTTTGGCAGTTCTGCAGCTCTGCAGAACTTAAGGGCCAGCCGCCCCTGCTCCTAAGGCTTATCCTCCGCCTCGCGAATTTGAAACCATGGATGCTGTTGGAAAAAATGATTGACGGTTTAGCCAAAACGTTAGTAAATGATCTCTATTTACGCCTGTGTTTCATTCGGCGGGTAGTGGAGCATGAAGATCAATACGATTTGATGGAATGTTACTGAGTCTTAATATGTTCCACGTAACCGCATGGATTTAGTAGCTAGCTATTGTAAAATATTTAATGTATACGGCATTGAGGTTAGGAACTTTCAAACCGACAGTTCTCTTTTGATACTAAACTAAATTGTGTTATTTCATGTGTATGACCGTAAAAGCTAGTTTGCTAGGTGACAATTTACAAGTTTGTGATTATTTCTGTTTTTATGAAATTATAAAAGCCACTCGCGTAAAGTTTGGTAACAGAAGTTATCCGGAAAGCCTTTAAGTCAACTAGGAGGTCAAACAATTAGGCTTAGAAGAGAGAAGAATTGTCAGTTTAAAATTGACATACTTCCTAACCTCAATATCCTGCGAATCCTGCCTCAAGTCGGACTCAAAACCGCCATACCAAACGACTCTGTATATCATTGTATTTGTTACATCAAAAATAGCTCTGAAATTGTTTTTCAATCCTCAGTTTGATGGGGGCAAAACAAAAAAATACGTCACAAGCAATTTTCATTAGTAGATACCAATGAAGATTATATTATAGGCACAGATGTTCTATTCCACATTCACTGATTAATAATTTCTTGATCACATTTGCCTTAAATAGTACTCATTACACTGGCACCGATATCGGTTCGAATTGCAGGCCGAAGTTAAATAATTTAGGTGTAAACTTTTATGTTAATGTAAAATGCACATTAGTATTCCCGACAGAAAGCTATCTAGTTCAGGTACCTTAATGAGGTATGCGATAGGAAATGCGTTATCATAATTTATCCATGTACATTAACAATGTTAGCCAAGTGGAGATTAGTGGAGTGGCACTCAGGTTTTTCTTTTTGTGACAATCAAGTCGGGGTGCAGTTATTTTTGTTTTTGTTATTTCTTACCTCCAGCCTTCACTTTATTGCTCGTTACACTAAGAGATAGACAGATACTTGGTTATATTTCAGAAAATTCATCAAATGCTCAAACTAGAGCTAGAAGGATAGGTTCCAATGATTGTTTTTCAAAATAATAAGGAGCTATAAGTATGGCCGACCGAAGGAGTTTCTTTGTAAGGGCATTGGCAAGAAGAAAATTTGTGTATATTGGGATAATAAATTAACATTCAAAGTGGAGGGGTGGTGAGCACGATAGCGTGGGCTCGGTCTTTCAAAAACTCTAAGGGCTTTTTAACTTTTTGAAACCCCATCCAGTTAAGTTTGTTGAGACTAAAAAGACGTGCTCTTTCGCTTTTTTCATCTACTTAGTGCTTCAGAAACTGTTTTCTTGAATCGCGAAGATTTTTCGTATTTATCAATACTTGGCCGCATTAAAAGATATTTTAGTTTTTCTTGGACAAATTAAAGTCCTTTCAAGTGCGCATGAAGCTCTGCTTTTTCAAAAAAAAATGGCGGGAAATTTATTTTTTTGGGCCTTAAGAATTCTAATATTTCTTTTTACAAAACCATTGGCCCACGTTATGATAAAAAAATATGTGTGACACCCCTTTGGTAAGTCTACTTTGATGAATTTTTACATGACTTTTGAGAGGGCAGTAGGGGTCAAAAAAATCGAAATCCTTTTTTCCCTTATTTTTTTGATATCGATAAAATAAAATAAACTGACAAAGTGATAATTAAGATATTACTAAAAAATAGAGGGAGCTTAAATATTTTCAATCCAAATGTTATTTGAAACCTTTTTGATACAGGAAAATCATAAAAATAATAAAATTGAGAGCGTGTTCTAAAAAAATATGTAAAAATAGCGGGAAAAAAATGGATTTTGAATGTTTTCGCCCCCTCAAAAATTATGAAAGAGTTCATAAAGGTAGATACATTAAATTTATTTTGTCACGTGGGTCAACAGGTTCTGTTGAAGATACATTAGAGAAATTAAAAAAAAAAATGATTTTTCCGCCAAAAAATTCTGAAAAAATGTTCGCGCTTCAAAGACCCTTAATTTGGCGCAAGCAATACTAAGAAATATTTTTATGCAGCTAAGATATTTGGAAAAAACGAAAAATCTTTGTGATTCAATAAAACACTTTCTAGAATACCTAAGTAAATAAAATAAGGGAAAGAGCACGTTTATTAATTTCCTACAAGCCTTACTTAAATTTGAAAAAGTGGAAGGGTCGATTACTCCTCCCCTCTTATGAGCAATGGCACTTTCGTTTTTCAACGAATCAAATAACCTCTAATATCATGCATTTAAATTTCAGTACCAAGCTTCAACAGAAAGATATGTTTCCTCGCAATTGTCTCACTCGAAATCAGATTATCGATGTGTGAACAGATAATCAGTAGTGGGTGTGTAAAGATCAAACCGTTTTATGTTTCCCACCGAAACGTACAGAGTGTACATTCTTACTGTAATCTCCAGTTTATCATATGAAAGGACCTTACCTCGGCATGTTTGAGAATCATACAAAAGGCTCCGAAATACTCGAAGCGCAATTTTTCTCAAGGAAAAATCTATCAAACGGTAACCCCGGTTGACGTTGACATATATGAGGGACAGGCAACACTTTTTAGAAACATCTCTTCTTTCCTTCGCGTCTCTCCTTTTCTAGGTGCATTCAGGTTCGCATTTACACGTGCGTACGGCAGATAAGCGACGGATTTTCGGACGTCTGACTAATTCGCAGTCATCAATCTGCTTCAGTTTGGCCCTTTGTGCTGCTTGCTGGAGGGATCTAACCCGCACCTCCGATGTTTTATCGAAGGACAAAAAAGGACCTTGTGCGCAGCTTAGGTGTGCCATTGTCCTATGGGATCGGTCGCTCGGTGCCAGTTTATGGGGTTATGAGGTGCGACCTTGCTAGACCAGCGATTAACGGGTAAGTAGGAGCGGTTAAATGCAAATTAGCGCCGGTATCCAACACCTCTGCCGTCAACAATACGGCATCTGTGACTAGTTTCGCTGTTCTGAAGAATACTTGAACTTGTCTCTACAGGGTGTGAGATACACGGATCTAAAGAAAAGGACTTCCAACAAAATAGGGAGATATTGCCACATTTATGAAGTTTTGGAAAACACTTGACTTTCAACTTAATTGAGATAGTGGTCCTTTCTGACCGCAGTAGGTACTATTTTGATGCCAAGGTCCACTCACCCACATAATAAAGGGTTGTATTGAGATTGTGTATGTTCTGAGTTTCGCGGCTGCATGTGGTCGGATGTGATCGTTAAGTAAATAGTACTAATACCAACAAAGGTCGCTGCGTGGAATTTCTTTAAAATTCGACGCTCGGTTCCATTGACTTTGTATTTGACTTGCATTGCTGGTTTACTACAAATACACAGCGATCTATGGGCGTAGCCACCTTTACCGTCTGGAGGGAGGGAAATAACAAAAATAAAGTCCCGCAGATTAAAGCTGAAGCGCAAAAAATAAGTTACACTGCTGGTTGATTTTTGGAGTCACAATTTAAGTACCTGTATATGGAGAGTTGGGGTAAGAAAAGTTGGGCTTTTTAAGAGGTACCTGAATGACACAATACAATATGTAAATATAGGGGAAAAGTAGGTAATATGCCCCAGTTGACAAAATGCCCCACTAGCGTTTCACTGAAACAAGCACACTTTTTCGGCACAATGCGGCATCCGCGCATCGAAGAAAGTCTGCCGGCAACATGGTTTATGTTCCTACACGCGTGCTGTAGCTTGTTAAAAAAATATTGCAAAGGATAGTTTTTCAGTGGTCGGACAATTTGTGGTAAGTTCCAAACAAATTTATATATCGTTAATACTATTTGTTTTATTCCAAACTTATATGCACCATGTTAAAACATATAAAATTGGCTTCATGCTCTGTGTGTGTCAAACAACATAACCTAAAATTCCTTTCTTGCATCAGAGTGGGGCGTTTTAGACACCATATTTTACAATATGCCCCATTGTATGGTTTATAATTCGCCCCACCATTAAAACCGCAAATAATATTCATGGTTCTTATGTTTTCCAGAATATGTCACGAAAATATGAACGGAAGTCACTACGAGCGTCATGGG